ACAGGTCTCTACCAGAGACGTATACAGCGTCTCTACGTCACTCCTCTACGTCAGAATGGTGCAATTTCTTTGGGGGGAATTCACAACTTCCAAAGACATCTTTCCAACGCTTGTTTTGTTCGACCGACAATTCAAAACATTGTGTTTACGATCACCATACGAGACAAAGAAAAGCAGCAAATCCACATAATTTAGAACGAGGTTGTGTTTTCTGTTGGTCGACTGATCCGTTCAGCTCGAATTCAGCACTTTTCTTTGGAGATTAGCATGTTTTGCAGAGCAGGTTTCTGGGTTACAGGTTCCCCCGTTCATCAGATCATCCTATAATCAGGTTGTTGATATGAAATGGTATTTTTAAGAATAAAAAGGGAAATAAATGTTGACATTCAACATTACTTTTTAAAAGTACCAAATTACAAACTGAGTAAACTGTTGATTTCCAAAATGTATAAATGTGGTTTTGGAGCTGACCTTCTCATCTAAAAAGGTAGAGTTTGGATTTGTATTGTTTTTTAACATTAGCATGTTTTACAGAGCAGATTTTTCTGGGTTACAAGTCCCCTGTTTATCAGATTATCCTTTAATCAGATTGTGATGAACAGCCCTCTCATCAATAATAAAAACCCATTGTGTGTAAATGTGAGTAGCCTGTAGCTTGAAAATGGGTTTACATGCATTTTATTTGGGAGAAAGCTGCAGGCGTTCACATTGTGAAGATGAAGGCACCGGAGCCTGAACACACCCACTTTACTCCTTCCTCCCCCCTCGGATAATTAGCAAATTAATTATAAAGACAACAACCTGGAAATCTCAGATAAAAAAAAAAAAAATCTGCTCTCTTTGTTTTGATGCAACAGGATGAGCAGATGGAACATTTCACGTGACACTGATTAATTAAAACATATATATTGATTCCTTGATGTTACCTTCATGTCTCCTATGACAGTCTGGAAAAGCCCCCCCAGCGCGCTGCACTCCCTCTCCATCACCGTCTCCATCTTCAGCTGTGTCCACGGAAAATATCACAAAACACTCTCTCACTCAGAGCTTCTGCAGTCCATAAATGAAGCAATTAAAGAGAGGAAAGGGGGGGGGGGCGGAGGCTCGGTGTCAATGGAAAAGGCTCAGAGTCGCTCTGCAGGGTTTCCCCGGCTGAAGGAGACCAGGACACGAGCAGCAGCAGCAGAGCCGGCGATTAGTTCCCACTCGGGGCAGATAGATCCCATGTCCGCGGGAGGAGACGCATGTTGGAGCGGAGAGAAGATTGCAGGAAACGGCCAACGACGCCGCCGGAGAGGATCAACTTCACACGGAGAGCTGCTCCACTGAGCTCTGGCTGCTCGGGAACGCGCCGGGAGGGAGACGTGGACGCGCGTCCGCTTGGCCCCGCCCTCAGCTGAGGAAGCGTTTTGTTAATGGCAAAAGAGAGGGTGACATGAAATACAATAACGTTATGGACATATGAAGGAATCTACATGACCTACAAATAAAAACGGTAAAATATGTAAGATGGAGAAATGAAATATAAGAAATATCAGTAATATCAGGAAAGAAGGAAACATTAAGAAGACCACACATGTTTTAGAATTAATACATCATCATTAAATAATCAAAAATAAAATAGAACTTATAACTATTAAGTATCAAACAAAGGACCAAAACTATATTTACAGATACGTTAATATTTTGTCTTATCTTTTGTCTTTCTTGTCTTATTTTCTTACTTTCTTTAAGTGCCAATAGAAATATGGATATATTTAAAAGATAAATATAATTGAAAAAATAAAATAATATGCAATGGAATATAATTCAAGCATTGATCTGTAAAATGGTATTTTTAGGAATGAAAGGGAAAAGAAAAGCCTAATGCTGCGTTCACACCAAACGCGTCGCGAATTATTCGCGCGAGTAGATTACATACAAAGTCTATGCGCAGACGCGATGAGGCTGGCGCGGCGCGAGTTTGCGACGCGTTTGGTGTGAACGCAGCTTAACCGCCTTGTTGACAATACTTTTTAAAAGTAATTACAAACTGAGTAAAACTGTTAATGTTGTCCAAAATGTTTAAATAGGGTTTTGGAGCTGAACTCTTCAATGATCTAAAAAAGTAAAGTTATGATTTTTTTTCAGGATATTTCATATTTTTATATTTTCTTAGGATTTTAGAAGCAGGATTCAACATCTTCAATTAGTGGAATGAAGATGGTTATTTCCACCTGTTGGCTGAAAGTCCTCGTTTCCCAGTTTAGAAAGCACTGCAGGACATAACAGGCCTTCACAACGTGGTTTCATAGCGTCACCGGACTGTCTGATACAGTCTGCACTGACAGACTCAGATATTTAAAACTGCATCGCCACCTAGCGAGTATTTCACTGAACTGTTCGGGAAACATCGATATCAAGTTGAAGAGGAGACATCAGGAGGACGGGAAGAAGACAACAAAGAAGAGAAATACCAACCAGGAGAGGTGACAGATATTCTGTGGACCTTTAGACAGGACGCACTTTAAGCAACCACACATGTTAAAGGTCAAAACTGTGCTGCGAGGACGCTCACTCATCTGTCTGTCACGTGGTTTGCTTTCCAGAGTAACACACATGTATACGAGCCTCAACATGACATGTTCTGAGGTTTCCCATGGAGATGAGATGATGGGCCCCGAACACAAACATGTGAAGGGCCTCGACTTCCTCTTACATAAGAACAAGAGCCACCGACTCAAAGAGACATATTTCTGGGTCGTGCATCTCTTTGTAGTCTCTTTTTGGTTGTTTTGCATCTTTTTTTTATTAGTTTATTGTTCTTTTTTGTAGTCGTTTTGTGTCTCTTTTTTTAACGTTCACATCTTTTGTTTGTTTTGTTTGTTTCGTATATCTTTGCGCTCACTTTGGCTGTTTTGTGTCTTTTTCTTTGCTTTGTGTCTCTTTGTAGTCGTTTAGCTTTTCTTTGTGGTTGTTTTACATTTGTTTGTAGTCGTTTTGTGTCTCTTTGTGGTCATTGTGCATCTCTTTTAATTTGTTAGTTTTTTGTAGTCGTTTTGCGTCTCTTGTGACAGTTTTGCACTTAAAATTTTTTTCCATATCTTCGTAGTTGTTTTGAATGATGTTTTTTTGGTTGTTTTGCTTCTCTCTGTGGTCAATTTGTGTCTCTTTTACTTCCCAACAATAAATGTTGTTAGCAGTATATATGTTAGCAGTAGCTTCAAACAGAGGGTCCGGCCCAGTGACGTTCATGTCAGTTGGAGGACACCTAGTGGCAAAACATAGTCAGTGACTCTTTCTCTGAACTGCAGGTATAAAGCTACATCAGACCTTTATGTGTGTCCCTCATTCACCCATGAACACATTCTTTTACTCGTTGGGTAATACTTCTTTTAATCTTACTGAAACCATGTGATACACTCATTAGTCTGATGAAACACAAACTGTCCTCTCAGCGTTCTGTCATCCATCAAACTAAACAAAATGCTCCTGAAATGTTTGTGTTTGGTTCAGTTTTTCTGTTAGCTTATACAATAAATCAAGAATTTGTTAAGGTCTTTGATCATTTCAAACATCCAATTAAAGAAAGAAGATGTTCTTCAAATGCAGTTTCACTGGTGTCCCTCTACAGCAGAGCTGAACAGCCATGTGACGAAGAGTTTCCACTACTGCTGAGAGGCGAAACCTGCAGACCTTTGGCCCTAAACCGGAGCTCCGGGGTCTGGGCTGAGGCCAGTGGGGCCGACCGGTTTGCTGGAGGAAGATCTGGGATCAGATGGTGAAGCTGGCAGAGTTTCAAACAGTCGAAGCTGTATCGTTTTAACCACACAGACTGGCTGCTTAATGACAGGGGGAAACAACACACACACACACACACTGATGCACAAAAAAGCAGCGCTCCGTGTCATTATCTCCCCAAAACAGGAGAGGACTAAACTAATAACAGCTATCAGAGAGAGGGGAGAAGGGGGAGAAAGATGTGGGAGGGAAATGAGAAGACGAGGAGCTCTTGATTCTCTTGAGTCTCCTGACTCAATGACGATTCATGAGGATTCAGACTCTGCGTTATCAGCTGTTTATGTCAGTTGCATTCACATCTGTGCCCAGACAGAGAAACCAAAGTGCACATTTCAAATTGCATGAAGAAAAAATGACGTAGAAGTCGTAGCGATGACGATTCTCTCTCATTTAATCAGCAGCTTGAAAGTCAGGATGAGAGTCTTCAGAGTGATGAGAAGCTTCTGATAAAAATAAAAACAAACTTCAAAAATATAAAAACGTAAGAGAAACAGCACATTATCCTTCTTTAAAAACAGTTTAATCACTTTTCTATATTTTTAAAGTTTGAGTTTCGATGTGTTCTTTAAACTCACATAAAAATAACTTATATTTACAATCAATACGTTTACCACTTAAACAATACATTTTTGATATTATGATTCATTTTGCACAACTTCTAATCTTTAATTACATTACATTATTTTTAAGCATCTAAGAATCTAGAGAAATATAAGTTAGTTCAATAAAGAGCCTCTGACGCTGCCTGGGACCATATACCTGCTGTGATGTCACGGCGGAGGTGTGGCCTGAAGTCCTGGCGGCTAAAGTTTGAATCTAAAAGACTTGAGAAGAAAAGTAGAGAAAATACGAACAGAAAGAATCATGATTTTTCGCAAAAAATTCTGCGACCACGTATACATTCTAAGCATGTATCCACTGTTGCCATCAAAAGGTACAGGGACATGTCTGTGGAGCGACTGACAGAGCTCCTGGTCGCAGCTAATAATGTATTATTGCAATTAAAAGCTAATGGTGTCTGCAGTTCGTGGCAAATGTATTCAAATATGCTCATTGTGCCATTTAGGTTGAAAATGCTGGCTCGATGTTAAATTAAAAAGTGTTTGTCGGATACATGCTCCAATACATATTTTCCTGCCACTTAATATTTATTTAGCTACAAAACGCACGTCAAAGCGGTGTGCCATCTCTAAATGCATCTGATTTGCATTGAATAGCCGGCTCTTTGTACAGGATGGCTTCTTCATGAGAGACGTGTGTCAGGCCGTTTTGCCTGCATCTTAATGGCCTTTGATCTAGAAAGTGTCAGACTCTATTGAGTCTGCACAATTTAATTCCAATCAAGAGTTGAAATAAAACTCCAACCCTGACAATGTTGATTCTCAATTCCAACAACTAATTCCAGAAGTTTATCCAGTGATCATTTTTCCATTGAAAATATGTTTAAAGGACGTTTAAAGACGTCTACGCCCACCGTTGAAAAGACGTTCAAAATTGGTTCAAAAGTGAAAGTTTTTTCGCCGACTATTTATAGACGTTGATTGACCGTTCACGTTCAGACCAGATTCAACGGAATTAGCAAGACTACAATTTCTCGTCAACATTTCGTTGCATTGTGCCAATAGTATATCTTCATTTTAGAGGCTTATTCTAAGAAATCACATCCACATTTATCAGTTGAAAGCCAATGTTGCAAATCCCGTTGAAATCCGGTCTAAACATGAACGCTTAATCAAAGTCTTCAAATAGTCGGCGAAAAAACTCACTTTTAAACCAATTATAAATGTCTTAACGTCACCGTATTTTAAAAATTGAAATATTGTTCATTTGTATATTGCTGTAAGCCAAACAATGTTTTGACCGTCTTATTAGTACATTTTGTTTTACTCACTTCCTCCCATTTAAACTGTATAGCCCCACTCGTTTTCCGTCGTGTATTTTACATGTAAAATAAAAATTGTTTAACGCTGGGCTACAGCGACAGCCCATAACGAGTCTCCAACATTAACACACATCTTTACGTTTACATTTCATCCATGCTGCTGTAGCTACAAGCTAACATGCGAACGCTACAAGCTAGCAGCCTCACCCGCTCGTTAAGTCCCGTGCCGAGTTTCCAGACATGCATTCACAGTTGTAAACGATCTCTGAGCCCAAGTCCCTGCGCATGCGTGTTCCAGCAGTAAACACATTTGTATTTTACATGAACATACAGACATGTTATCTGCTCCCACTACGATGTCCTGGGAGCTTCTTGACAGCAGTCTATAGTTCCATATTGATGACGTTTTATATGAAACATTAAATGAGTTTAAATCACGTCGTGTAGACCACTCACCACCGACCAGCGTAATACGACTGGAGAAATACATACAAAGTAAACAATACCGCGTCTTTCAACCTACAACATTTTAAAACAAAGTGGTGTTTTGTGAGACAGTGTCGCATTTTAGGTTGAAAGCCGGTGAAAATAGGTCTTAGATGTTCAGACCCAATTTCAACCAGAAATCAGAGTTGGTGCTCACTGGGTAGAAAGATCTTAAAACATGGTCACTGGCCGTGATAACAAGCAGCTGTTTGCAGGACTGCAAGCAGCTTGCGGCAGAGTCAGACTGGTTGGACTCTTGATGCCCATCCTCTAATTTTCCTGAGATCAACCACCTGCTTGGCAAGCTCCCCCATAAGCTTAATAAACCAGTAACTTAAACTGATCTACAATGTCACTTAAAAAAGAAAAAAAAAAAAAAAAAAAAACTAACATCTGAACACAATATAGTACTACTCCTTTGATATACTACGCAGCAGTGTCACACACACAGGTACTTTTGCAAGTTTCAAATGACGTTCATGACAAACAGTTCAGTTTAAAGTACTTTATTGAATTTCATAAAAAGATGATGCCAAGACAGACTGCGGTCAGGAACCTAAGAACAGAAATATCATTTAGCAAGTTTGCAATGTATTCATCTCAACTAGAAAGAAACTTGCATTGGAATTTTCTTCCTCATGTAAAACATGAAGCATTGAATCTGGTCAAGAACATATAAAGTTCAACAAACTTACAGTGAAGATACTCGAGGTCACTGGTGTCCGTTTTAAACACGCACCAGTGGCTGCTGCCACTTGGGATGGTCCGGGGATGCCATGGGAATTGGTCTTGAACTTCCTGGATCAACATTTGAGTTGGCAGGCTGCACATTAGGACCAGAAAAGCCTCTAAGAAAAGAAGAATCCCACATTCCAGCTTTGCTTTGAAACACCTCCTGCTGGGGTTTGGACAGGGAACCAGATCGCATAATTCCACTACTTGAAGGCACATCCGACTCAAATCTTTTTCCTTTCTGGGATAAGACTAAATCCCACATGCCAGCTTTGGTCTGGAAGACACCATTTGCATTAGAGTCAGCTCGAGAGGGCGACTGGTATCTAGCC